TTGCAAGCAACGCCTTCTTGGCATGAACTGTACGACAAAGGAGAAACTTATTCAAGCTTTAATTCAAGTTTGGTACAGGGACCCATTATGTTGAAATACGCCAGATCCGTCAAGAAATGTCTTTTTTAGTTCTGGAACAGCTCTTCTTTAGAGAATTCTATATATTGTGGAGAGCGCATCATGCCCTGGACTGGATGCAAGGCGCCGACGCCGTAATAACTAAAGCACCCCCAAAACATCTGCTTTCATGGGTGTTTCACAAAGTGGTCAATGTGGGAATCACGAACCTTTTCTCCGCTGACCTCCGAACATACTGACTTCTCTGACCATGAACATAGAAATGGCTTTCATCGCTGTTTAGGACTTTTCTCCAATCTTCTTTTGTCCAGTTTTTGTATTTTAGTCCCCATTTGTAACGCTTAACCTTTGTCAGAAGTTGTTTTTTCACAGGCCGTCTGGCTTTCCGATCATCTTCCAGGATTCGCCCGCGAACCGTTGAAGAACTGATTTCTATTCCTTTCTCCTCCAAATCACGTTTTAATGCGTCACTAGTCTTTCGAGGATCTTTAACACTTTCCCGTATTAGGTAAGCGTCATCCCTCGCAGTGCCTTTCCTCTTAGGACCACATTTCCCTTTGCGTTTTGGCGAAATGCATCCCGTTTCCTTTTTCTTTCTGACCACACGGCTGACGGTTGCCGGACTGACGCCTACTATTCTTGCTATGTCCCTGTAGTTCTTGTCTGTGTGTTCGTGCAAGGTCACGATCTTCATGCGCCTTCTGGGAGCCACGTCCATTTCAAACAATGACTGAATCACGTAAAACAAGAAGTTGAAACAAAAACCCTACTAACCATAAAAGTATGACGCAATCTTGGGTGATGTAACGACTAGATATGCGCAGTTATTACATCGTCTGATTCACAAACAATGATGAAATATCTATTCCCAAAATAAAATAAAAAATAAATGCCAAAAGGGCAGCTTTCATGTATAAAAACATGACATTCATAGAAAAAGAGACACAATCGTAGTTTGTCTCAATTAATGTGCACAGGGATGTACATCCCCTGAAGCGCATTCGCGTGTAAGTGCAAACAATAATACCAGTTGCTTGTGCATAACGTTTTTAGTGCGCTCCTTGATTCGGTAATCACAAAAGCCGGTTCCATTACTTAAGATAAAAATAAGTGTTTTAATCGTTCAGATAAAGTTCTAAAAATACGACGAATAAGCTAGAGATGATTGGACTAGCTGATAGGCCATCAATGCAAGGCCATAATCTGTATGCCCTGACCAAATTTGTATCTGCTGTTAACTACGCAGCAAACGTTCACTGGTCTATTTTATACACCAATTCGTCTGATGCGATAGATTGTATGAAATAGAAATCTTCTACGGAATGTATGTAATTCAGTAACTTTTCATTTCAGCGCAATGTTCAAGCCGATGATGCTTCCAATTCTCTTGCGTATAGCGAACTGCATAACGTGTGGCCCCGTGTCTTCAACGCCGCATGCTCCAGTTCCACGACGCCAAGTGTAACGTTATGAGCATACGCTATCAAAGCACTCACTACCGTCTAGGGCCATAAATGTTGCAGAGCGCATCTTAATAGTGCGATCTCAACATGTTCATGCAAGATAACCTTGATTGTTTAAGGCAGACGGAAAAGGAACCAAAAGAAAGTAAACCAGAACTTCGATCAGTTGCGTGGGGCTTTCGGAACTTCGACTTCACAATCGTTCCTCCAATTTTCGGCGCGTACGTAAGAGTGCACGCATAATACGCTTTCCAAACGTGACGACAACTAGCAGAAGTGCCACCTCACCATACTACAGCACAATACAGTGCGATGAAGAACGTACAAGGTTTGTCCCACATTCCTTATCAGCTTAGGCTAAAATTCTAAGAGCTTGCAGCGGACTTAATAGGTGTCTAAGGAACGATCACAGAATGGCGTATCAGATCCTAAAAACTCCAAGCACACTTAGTAGCACCAGTTGGAAGGGCTAAAACAAATCTGGTTGACCTTCAGTTTAAGCTGACCACTTAGTACAGCCGGCTGGACTGTCAAGGAAACAGTTTCTCCCTCCCAGTGTCACAGCCCTAGAACTCACTCCTAGTGCACATGGTTGAAGGCCCGACCTTATCCTTACTAGAAAACCGCCTTGATTGTATTCGGACACATATACAAAACGGGGTATAGCACAGGATAAATCCATGAACGATCACATTATTCGCTTACAAACCAGGCAGGAATACTTCTGTATGCACCAATGCAAACCTCTAGGTGTGTCATGTACCCACGCGCTTTTCATCGACACAATGTCACTTATCTCGTAATGTTTGCCCAAACTATCTCACGGGATTAGTCAAACATTTGCTTTTATACTCGTTATAAACCATTGCTTCATTATCAACGCCATTGCAATGTTACGCCTTACTTGCTAACAATGTCACTGACCCGGTGCCTAAGCTACCTTTAAGTCCTTGCTACAGTTTTACTATACGAAAACCTTTGTTCATGATTCGCTTGCAACAACTTTTGTTTCAGATAAAGGCACATTTATACTGTCCTCATACATCGTGCTAAACGCAGACTTGGTTTAGGGGAAGTTTTTTCGTCCGATGACTACCACGCGTTTAATGCAATCTTCGCGTGTTATCCTAATCGGTCCACTTAAGAAGGCAGGCGGCAGACCTGTGGCTTTACCCACTGAGACCACACAACGGCGTATGAGCACAATTTGTGCGATTTTTTTGAGTTTGCCCTGCCATGAAACCTGTACATGTTTACATAAACTTCTGAACCACATGGTATTCTAAAACATACGTACCGAATATAAAGCATAGGGCTAAAAATGTGTTACCAAAATATATGGCTGAATTGTGTGTCAGTCAGATAGCTCATTACACAGATTTGTAAGGCCCATCTCGTTCAACTAGTGGCATTTTCTCTCAAGGGATCAACCAGATAAAATGACCACCATGGTGGCTAACGAACCATTGTATAGACAAAGTGGAATATGTCGTCAAGAAGTATCAGGATGTTTGCTGTTTTCGTGAAGACAATAAATACCGGTGCTCAGTTGTCCAGATACTCTTCTTTCATGTAACTGCGCTCTTGCTTGGTTCTGACGCCGTTTTAGAAGAAGTAAGAAAATAAAAGTGAAAAAACATTGGAGTCTTTTATGTCATGAGGTAAACACTCGTTTGGTCAACATAGAATCCATGTAGTTTGATCGAGTCGCCTAAGTGAAACGGGTTGTTTTTCTTTCTGATGGGTGAAGTGAATTTGATTCATTGGTTTGAAGCATCCGTTACCTGAAAAAGCCGATAACACCAACTGTGATGGCTCATTCAAAATGTGTGTGTTCAATGACGAGAATCATGTCTGTATCAGATGATGATTTATCTCTGGTTGAAAACCCAATGTCCAATAAACCAGAATAGGATCAATAGCCCATTGCAAATAAGAAGCGGTTGAAGGAT